TAGAATTACTAGTCCTTTTGCTAATTTTGTATTGGGATGAAATAGGTTCTCAGAATACTGGAGTCTCATTAACTGCTTACTGATAAGCTGTCTGACTGCTTGCTTCCCATTCGGCTGGGAGAAAATTCATTTCCTACTGCCTGGCTTGAAATGCTGAATAGTTGAGCTTATTAATTTTTATCAATATACCACCGGTGGCCTGAAGACACTTTTTCTCAATTCCTTCTCCTTTTAGAGTTTTGGCAAATGCTGCTGCTCTGGCTTGCAGAGCCAAACATCTCAGGATCAGAGGTCTTGGGCTCACAGAGGGACAGGATTTTAAGAAACACAGAAAGCAGTACTGGGCTGTCAGTAGGTGGTGTTCCAGAATGGAGCTGAGTAAGGCATAACACACGAGTGAAGCCCTTTAGGTAAAGTAGAGAGTAAAAGTGATCCTGACTGTGAGGTCATGGAGACTCTTTGTTACCCCTTGCAAAAGCAGAAATAGAATTAATATCCTGTTTGACAAGCTAGATCATGGAAATAAGTTGTATGCACGTGCACGTGTGGTTTCTAGTGTAGTAATCCAGACCTGATCTGCACAGTAAAGGCTTTCCTGCAGCATGCACAGATCTCAGGCATGCCTCTAATAGGTAGAGTGTTGGACCACTTGGTTGAAGAGTCCTGTGTATGTGTCATAATCACATAAGTTAAATTCAGCTTGCTGCTTGTAGAGCTGTCAGCCTGAATGCTCTTGAAATTAAGCTTTCACAGTTTGCCATCTGGGTCCTGCATGAAGGCAAAAATGTTTCCCATCTCTAGTACCATGTATTAAGAGACAAAAATTGAAGTTTTCTATACACCTGCCAAGCCCACATCTTGGTACCAATTATGGTTGAGAGTTTTCTTGGAAAAACATCCATATTACAAAAATGAGTCTTTTTGATAGAGTACTGGATGCTTTTAGTTTAGAAGTTTGTTATGCGTGACTGACATTGCATGCCTGCCTTCATAACCGTAGTTACTCAGTTGCTCTTTACTGAGTAACTCTTTACTCAGTTCTCATTCAGACAAGAATCCTGCTCACCCAAGAGGTCTGAAGTGGCTAGTATCCGCCCTACTCAGCCCTAGTGAGGCCACAACTGGAGTACTGTGTCAGCTCTGGGCTCAGTACAAAAGAGGCACGAAGCTCCTGAAACAGGACCAATGGAGGGCAACAAAGATGATTAAGGCACTGGAGCATCTCTCTTACAAGGAAAGGCTGAGAGAGTAGAGCCTGTTCAGCCTCAAGAAGAGACGACAGAGGGGACCTCATCAGTGCCTGTAAGTATCTGAAAGGAGGATGAATCCAGGCTCTTCTCAGCGGTGCCAAGCAATAGGACAAGGGGCAACTAGCAGAGACTGATGTACAGGAGGTTCCACCTCAATATGAGGAAGAACTTCTTTACTGTGTGAGTGACTGTGCACAGATTGCCCAGAAAGGTTGTGGAGTCTCCCTCCCTGGAGGTATCCAAGAACCTTCTGGATGCAATCCTGTGCAATGTGCTTTAGGATGACCCTGCTTAGCAGGATGAGATGACCCACTGTGGTCTCTCCCTTTCAACCTGACTCATTCTGTGATTCTGTGTTAGTTAACCCTCCAACATTAGGATACATTTGTCATTGAGCTTTAATTCAGGCTGGCTTGGCCCATAGGGGTGATTTTGAGCAACCCTGAAGAATAATGTGAGGTGACTTTTATGAGTTTTTCATAGAAGTGGCTTGCACCTGCTAAAACAATAGCATTTTTTAAAAAAAGACATGAGATGATTGCCAAGAGTTTTGTTCAAACTGTAAATGCTCTTCTGCTTTACTTGCCATTTCTATCTACAGCTGAGAGTCTTTAGAAGATCCCTTTATCCTTCTGTATTTGTGAAATAATGGACAGTCCTGCGTTTGGTTTGATTGTGTGACCAGATCTAACTTGATGAGATGGCAGGGAGATAAAGTCTCCTCACAACCCTAAGGTAGGCATAGAAACATGCAATTGCTACTACTTCTGCTAACTTTGTGCCTAGATGAAAGAAATTCTCAGAATATTAGTGTCATTTACAAAACTACAAAAGGTATCTAGATTGGAGGGTGAACACAGTTATTGCAGAGCATCGATGTAATACATTTCTGTTTCGAAGTTAGTAACATAGATTTAGCTCAAAAGGGTAAGGTAAAGTATGTGCCTCACTTCACTCCAAGTTATCCTACTCTCTCCATGTAGGCCTTGCAAGCTGAAGTTCTTGGTATAGATAGATGGGAGCCAGCTAAATGAATAGGTGATTAAAGCCACTTTGAACTCCTGATTTGGGCTATCTTATGGCTGTGATGTTTATGTAGAAGTTACTTTTCTGGGTACCAGTACACACCATTGACACTTCTCACTTTCTCTAACAGTGGTGCCATGTCCCCTACATGACATCAGGGCCCTTCTAAAGGCTGGTATTCCTGTTTCAAATAAGTGTCTACAGATACTGAAACCATGGTGGTTGCTGGTGTGCTATGCACTTTATGATTGGGTATAGGAGACAAGGAGACATTTTGATAATTCTACAATGGACATTTTTTTTTTTTTAGGTTTGGTCAGGGTTTTTGTTTGTTTGTTCGTTGGTTCGGTTTGGTTTTGTTCTGTTTTGTTGTTGGTTGGTTGGTTTTTCTTTTAAAATTAGTTGTATACCTGAACCGTAGCCCTAATAAGATAATTGACAGTATCTGAAATTGTAGTTTCATGAGAAGGGCTACAGCTCTAGAGGTCTCCAGCACATCAGTGATGGTTCTTACAGACACATTTGCATCTGGTGGGAGCTGCATAACTATTTAGTTGCATATTTGTGCCTTTGCTGGTGACAATATATTAATAAGCACTTGTCCATTTATTAACAATAAATGAAAAAGAGAGAAAAAGCAAGCAAGGCTTATGTGTTTAAACTGTAGCATCAAAGAAACATATAATGAGAAAGAGGAATCAGCTTGCAAATGAGTCCTTAATTTAAAAATAAGGCAACATCATTACATAATTATATTTTTAATTATTTGACTAATTATCGACTAATTGACTATAACATGTGAAGACAGTGCTAACAAATCATGGCTTTGGGAAACGTTTACTTTCAGGATCAGTATAACACTTATTTGCACAAGCAGTAATACCAAATTGAAACATCTAGACTGCCTCAAAGCTGGATGCCATTGGTAAAAATAGGATGTGAATCTTGACTGGTTTCTTTAATTCTTTCTTCTGCAGCACATTCTTAAAATCAATGTGTAAAGACTGAGAGAAATAGCAACTGTGATTTTCAAATGAATTTTTTTTTCAGAAATTATTAGGGTATTTCTTCTAGAATCTTTCGAATAGATAATATAAAACACTGTGACACTATATTCTATCTCTTTTCTCTAGTGGACTATTTCACTGGGGTTATTATCACAACTATTTTGCTACGTTCAATGAAATTAACATTGATTCCGTTTCTTGAAATCATATGGAGACTGCAACTGCAGTCTGCCTTATTACCAAATGAGTACAGTTTGCCCTTCAATAATTCTCTAAACTCTCAAATGCCTGGGAAATAATATGCTGGAGTGTTACTGAACTGTGACTGAAGCACCATTTGTGCAAAGTGTGACAGTGCACAAATGACATTCCACAATAAAAGTTTAAATGACATTAATCTTCCACAGAGGTTCATTGACTGGGTAGATGCTTCAAATATCATATAAAGGCACTGTGGTCCCACTTCACATTATATCTGAGTGGTTCCTCTGTATCAGTCTTTTGCAAACATGTTCATTAATATTTCTGTTATATACTTAAACATAATCAATGAGAAATTAAAAAATTTAATATAATATTTATGCAACTACATCAGTGAAAAGTTTGCATTTGTATTTGCTGTAGAGAGGTCCTCTTGACAGTGGTATCATTAGGAATATAATGGTAGGCAGTGTAATCCACCCATTTTCATTCCTTGTTGACAATGGCATATGACTTGTTTTGTGGGTTTGCTCCCTTCTGCCATCTTGAATTACAATTGGCTGAAAAAGGCACAGGCTCTGACCACTGTTATTTTCTCACTTTGTCTTCGTAAGATCCCAGTACAGGGAAGGGAAATTAGGGTGACCTAAATGGAGATTTAAATTTAAATGGAGGTTTATGTTGCATGAGTTTTGGAAATTGAAGGAATGATCTTTGAGGGATTGTGAAATTTAGTGGTAGGAATATGGGGCTCAGAGCCCCATTATTTCACTTTCAAACCCTTCTCTTTTGCTTATTTGGATTTTGTTCTTTGGCCATGGCCTATCACATTTTACTTCCCTCCCTATTGAACTGTAGGTTAGAAGGGCATTGCCCCTGGTGTCACACAGGCATTTGAGAATCAGTTACTCAATATCTGCTCAGTTCTTTCAGTGAAATTTCCTGGAAGATGTCTTTCAGTGTCCAGTCTTGACTTGAAGAACTTAATTAGTGGAGAAAATATGGACCAGTGAACTCGTGATCCTGCAGCATAAATATGAGCCCATTTTTTCCTTCCTTGATTTTCATCATTTGTTTAGCTGCATGTCATTGAGCATTCTGTACTCCTCTGAAAACCAAGACCCCATCTAAACCTACCCGTGTCTTCAAAGGCCAGAATTCACCTTTCGTGGCTGTGATTTTGCTGGAAACAAGGAGAATAAATCCAGGTCCTGGCAAGAACACATGCTGTTTGGTGCAGCAGTCCTTTGCTCAGTTGCTCAGAGCCTGAACAGGGAAACACCCCCTAGGGACCAGTGGAATCCCATCTTCATCTAAGGCTAAAAATTGATTTATTTTTCATTTATCAGCAAGGAAATTGCTTTTTTTTGGGCTGTGATGAACCAACCTTCTGACAACACGTCAGAGATTAATTGCTAAAGACCAGAAGGGACTGCTATGACCATCTAATCTGCCTTCTTGCATAACATAGACCTTTGGACTTTCGCTAAATAACTCACACTTGAAGGCCACTGTATCCCTAAGGAAAACAGCCAGTCCTGATTTTATTACCGGAGCCCACTGCAACTCAGCACATTTTTCAATGAAGCTTTCTGGTAACTATTTTGTGGTCTTTTCAGTGTGTGCTGTAGAAATTAATTTTTTTCCTTTGAATTTTTTGATCAAGATCTAATCAAGGAATTGATTAGATTAATTCCTCTATACCAACTGTGAGGAGGAGACTCTTTCAAGATAATCTGCTTCCTGCTCCAGGAGGCTTCATATTTTTCTTTTGAATTGATGAGGACAGTTGAATGACAGCAATCACGAACCAGACCTCCTCCTCTTCTTTTGTGTGGTGCAGGCAGGTTCCCTGTGTGTTCTCTGGTGCTGTGAGTCTTACACATAAGTTTGTAGTGGGAGAAGAAGGCACAATTTCAGCAAAGACAGGGAACATCTCCTGGTGTTTAACCCACACAGTGGGAACCTCCCAGGGAAATGGGAACTATGGGGTTGATGACCCTCAGTCTGAAGTAGAGCTCGGATTTTAAGTCTCCCTTTCCTGGGTTTGGAAATCTGCCACCATGTTGTCGTGCAAAGTCAGGTTATCACTGTGACTGTTGCATTGTCAGAAGAATACTTAGAGTGCTGATTCCTCTCAGGAAACCTAGAGGACCAAAGAGAGAAAAAGGCATTTGAGGAGCTGAATCAGATTCCCCACAGACCAGTTATGAAGCCTTTGCTCTTACATAGGCAGCCTGAGTCACCCTCAACATTAAGTGCCTATAGCAGGTCATGAGAGTACAGTCCATGTCTACATGGACTCCAGTGGTGCTGGAGTGGTGCTGCAGTAATATTTGTGAGATGTCTGCTAGTGCAAGACGACTCTGGGGGCCAGATGAGGAAAGTCACATAGCCAAAAAAAAAAAAAAAAAAGGCAAGACAATGGAACAGTTATGGCCTGATTTCCTGTGCAGCTGCTCTTCATGCAACTGAGTCACTGTTCCTGTTAGGGCTTCTGCTTACCTTTGAGTCTCAGTCTGTGGTGGTGCATCCTCCAATTATTTATCGATAAGGACCATCTCTGCCCACACTCTATAGTCATCTGTATTTGCTGCAACAAAGATTAATAAGCTACCGGGTGATGAGTAAATATTTAACAACATTTTTCTTTGCTTTGCTTTGCATGTAAAATAAATATATTTGCAGAATATTCATTTTCCCTAGGTCTGGCAGCTTCCTAGAGTCTTTCACTTTTGACTCTCAGCAGATATGTTCATATGCTGTATCTAAAAGGATGGTGATGCAATCTTTATGTTTTGCATATAGCAAACATTATGTTTCATCCTCCTTTGAGAAAATCCGTTTCTGAGGTTTCAACTAAATGTGTCTCATCTTCATATTCAGTATGGCTCCGCTTATGCTGCAGCTTCCAAATTATTCTAACCCTTGTGTGCCTTTTTTTACTAGGATTTTTCAAGAATTTTCAAGTTCCATTTTGTTCATAGTAAAATTTATTGATAAGACAAAAGGACTTCCTTTTAGGGATTGAAATATTGATACTTTTACCTTAATGCTTATGTTTTAGTCCTCAAAATATATTACACTGTTGAATTCTTTGTTCTCTAGGTGAACATTGTTTCTTCTACAATACCTTGTTATCTGTCTTCAAGAAGAAGCGCATCAAACAAACCATTATGAACATGCCTTTCAAAAGGGATTGTAAGAAATATTTGTTTCAACTTCTGTGGAAATTATTGCCCAGGACTGTATTCGTCCTTGCCACTGGTAACTGGACTTTAATCTTCAGCTGTTATATTTGATCCTTTTCTTCTTCTGAGTCTTCTTAAGCAGAGCCCCCTTGTTGGCAGTCTACTGATTTCCCACTGCAGGCTGGTATTTGCAGAGGTTGTAGGTATCTATACCCTTAATTGGACCACACGTTTAAAATTATGTCCATTATATCTTTGTTAACTACCTAACCTTTATAAAAAGCAATTTTATCCATAATCTTTTTTAACTCTATTGTTAACAGATTAAAGCAACCTCTGTCCTCCGGAGTTAATAGTAGGGTGTAACTAGTCAATAAGTGCTACTCAACCGCACTGCAACTTCTATTGTGTGGCAGAGTCATCCTGTGAAGTCCTGCCATTCTTATCAGTTACTTCAAGCTCTTTATTTTCTAATCCCTCACTTACCCCATGTAATCACCTCAGGGTGATTACCCCATGTAATCACCTCACCTTCCTGCAGTAGGGAAGGGGTGGATATGTGTTCCTTTTTGCTTTTCCTCTCCCCACTCCTCACACAGTACTCACTAAACATGGGCAGTGTGTGGATATTCCTCATGGACTTAAGACAGAGAATCTTTGAGCTGCTCAGATGGAAGGCATGGGAATGTATCACATACCTAAATAGCTTGAAGGACGGTTAGCAGACAGTAATCCATTTCGCAAAACTCAGAGTTGCCCTCGCATTGCTCCCAACACTCTTGCTGACTCTCCAAGCATTCCCTGTACGTGCTTGTCTAGTAAAAACAGCTTTCAATAAAAAACATACAGTTCATTTTATAAAAAGATATTCTTGGAAAATAAAATACATTGAGATTGGCTTGTAAGTTCTTCATATTACCTCAATAGATGATTTCATCTGTGACCTTCTGGATCAGACTTTCTCCCAGAACAAAATTCATTCAAGAGTTTCAGTCAACAACCATTAGAAATACCACCAAAGACTCCAATTCTCCCTCTGTTTTGGTATAAGACTGTATGAACTTTAGATTTGTGATCAAAACACAACCGCTCCCAAAATTACATGTACCAGTATTTCTGTACCATATCAAAAGTACAAAGGGAAGAAGGAGGATTTTAGAAACATGAATGCAAACCCACTTAGATAATTCAAGGGCTAGGACAGTAATTAGTGAAGAGCCAGAAAGCTTCCATGTAACTCTGCATGCTCTTCAAAGTTTTGAGGTCACTTTCTTCTCTGAGTTATGAACACACAGCCTTTATTAAGGGCTGTGTGTCAATAATCTGGGCACAGAGAAGGTTCAAACTTTGGTTAGAGGAAACAATTTCTGACAGTTACATTCTGAGTTGCACTCTATGCTTTCTTCCAAAACAGTTTGTTCGCCGAAAATTGCAGACTAAGGGGGAAAATACAGTCGAAGGCAAAGCAGGAGATCCTGCCCTCTTCACTCCTTTCTTCCACCACAATTGCTAGTTATTGTACTTCACAACCCTTAAACTTACATTTGTTGCAATGGGTTTTTTTTTTTTCAGATTTTCTTTTTATTTTTAAATAAGTGTCCTACAGAATCCAGGGCCAGAAACTAATCATTGGATATGTGACTGTATTTGATGTTTTTCTAGTTCAATATCAAAAAATGGGTGTTTCCTACTCCTGATCATTTATCACAAATTTTATTTGATCAAATTGAACATTTTTAAATCGTTATTTATTACAAATTGTATTTGACTTAATTGTATGATTTCAAATTTGAAATTATACTGTCCAGACATGCTGGGTCTTGTTTCTATTGACCTAACCTTTTTGTTAGTGACCTATCTTTGTGAAGTAAGTGTTTTGCTTCTCTATGTTTTGGCTTGGCTTGCCTTCTTAAAATTTTATTTTATTTATTTTATTTTATTTTTTTTTCATTTTGTTTTATTTTATTTTTCAAGGGGAATAAAGCAAAATGATTGGTGCTTCAGGTCTCTTTGAAAGAAAGCAAAACATCACAGGGAACTTCTTTGCGCTAAAACAGAGGAGAACAAAGCCTTTGAATAAAAGACTTGAATTCCATCTGTCATTTCCACCCACTACTAAATCTACCAAAGACTAAACATTTATCCCACTGAGCTGAATACACTGATATCTAACTGCAGTGCCATTGGTCGCTGTAGAGCATAGGCTTGGCTTTTTTGTTTTTTGAAACTGTTAACATAGATTTAAGTGCAACAGAGGAGGCATGAAGCCATGAATGTTTTATTGGAGAGCTCCAGATCATCTCTCAGCAGGTGCGTCCGGTACCGTCACTTAAAAGATTAACCTCCTATCTCTGCAACAGTAATTACGACAGGAACTGTCTTATTAGGTAAAGCATATTGGATAAATTGAAACTCTATTGATAAATTCATTCAGTAAAGCTGACCTCATGGCTCCCAGGCTATATGGGAAAATCTGTGGTCTTTGTCCTTTCATGCATAGGGATCAAATGAAGAATTAGTGAGCGTCCATGTGACTTAAAGAGCATATTAAGAATGTGTCGGTTTTGCAAATGTCTAACTTCTCTGTGTACCATACAGTCTTTGGGGGCTCACTTCAACAGTCAGGCTCAATAAGACATAACACATTTTCCTTCCTTTCCTAGGAGGAATTTGCTAAGTAATCATTCCTCTGAGGCAGCTTCTTCCAAGCTTCTAAGCTTTGGTTTCAGCTTCATAACACCCTGGTGTGTCGAGCAGGTGCAGCATTTTTGCACTGGGGAGGAAAACTCGGAGGAAGGGCTGTTAATATCCAAGTTTTCAAAAGCAATGCTGGGTTTTCATGCTCTTCTACGCTTTGATCTGCTTGAGTCTCCTCACAACCAGCACTCAGGGAAGCATGATTTGGCTGTACCTCCAGTTAAAACGGTATGAATCTGGAAGTGCTCAGTGCATCTGGAGTCCAAACCTGTGGTATCTGAGGATTTAAAATCGCCGTGGAAAATACAGACCAATGTGACTGGGCTTGGGAAACATGAAAAGGCTTTGCCAAAGCTGAGAACCTAAATGCTCAGTACCTGTTCTAGCGATAGACCTATACAATTGTATTTTCCTCTTGTCTTCAGACAAAAACAAGACAACTAATTTTTCTCTTGTTTCTATTTAGCAGGATAGATCATATTATTTTCCAGACCAGAAGTACTGATTAGTTATCAGCAGCTGTCCCTGTAGAGCATTGAAAGTTATCATGATGTTTTAGAAGCAGCTTAGCAATGTGACTGTTTTGAGGGTTTTCTAGTTTAAATTGTAGAATCATAGAATGACTCAGGTTGGAGGGGACGTTAATTTTCACCTAGTTGCAATCTCCCTGCCATGGGCAGGGACACCTTTCACTAGAACAGGTTACTCAAAGCCCCATCCAGTCTGGTCTTCAACACTTTGAGGGACAGGGAGTCCACAACTTTTCTGAACAACCTGTTCCAGTGCCTCGCCACACTCACAGGGAAGAATTTCTTTCTAATAGCTAATGTAAAGCTACCTTGCTTCAGCTTAAGGCCATTGTCCTATCACTACATGCCCTTAAAAGTCCCTCTACAGCCCTCTTGTAGGCCACCTTTAGGTACTGGAAAACTGCTATAAGGTCTCCCAAGAGCCTTCTCTTCTCCAGGATTAACAACCCCAGCTCTCTCATCCTGTCTTCATAGGAGACATGATCCAGTCCTGTTATCAACTTGATGGCTCTCCTCTGGACTTGCTCCAGCAGGTTGATGTCTTTATTGTGTTGGGCATTCCAGAGCTGGACACAGCACTCCAGGTGGGATGTCATAAGAACAGAGTAGAGGGGCAGAATCACCCACCTAAACCTGCTGGTCCCACTTCTTTTGATGCAGTCCAGGATGTGGTTGTCCTTCTAGGCTGCAAGTGCACATTACCGAGTCATATTGAACTTTTCATCCACAAACACCAACAAGCCATTCTTGCCAGGACTAGTCTTTATCCATTCTCTGCCCAGCCTGTACCTGTACTTGGGATTTCCCCTGCCCAGGTGCAGCACCTTGCACTTGGCCTTGTTGAACTTCGTGAAGTTCACACAAGCCCACCTCTCAAGCCTGTCAAGGTCTGTCTGGGTGGCATTCCTTCCCTCCACTGTGGGGATAATTTCTCCAAAGTAAAACCAAAATAAAGCAACTTCAATTCTAAAGAATAATCGAGACATCGAAGGGATTGCTTTAATTTTTAAAAAACCTAACTTCAGCAGCAGAACAGACAACAAAGGGATAGGGAAACTCCACAAAAAACAATGCCTTATTTTCCAAACCTTTATTTTGTTGTCATGCCATGCCATTCACTGTAGTTACCATACATGAGAATTGTGAAAATTGGAAATCCTTTATATAGGCTAAGGAAATCATTACCGGACTATGTATTTGAAATATTAGTTCCTTGCCAGAGGTGCGTATCAGGTCAAATATTGAGAGTAGTCATCTTGGGGTATGGACCCACTCTGATGGGGAAGATATTGATGCAGCTGGTCCAGAATGTGAGGGTCAGAGGGAAGTAGATGGGTCTCCATACAGACCAAAAAGGTATCTACACAGCTTACAGTGTTCCTGGTTGCAAATTTGGAGCATGATGTTTCCTTGCTGCACATCCCCCACACTGTCCCCACCTCTGCTGTCTATACCAGGAAGGGAGGGAGTGGGAATATCCTCTGCCCCAAGTGGGATGTCTGTGACTCTGAGAGTCTTGTAGTTCTGTCACTGACATTTTTAAGATGCACTCAGAGTGTGTGTGAACATGTATGTGTAATACTTGTGGAAAAAATATCCCAGCTTATTGGAAAAGTCAAAGTGATGAAGACTTTTGGAAAAATATCGTCTTGGAAGGTCAAATGTGGGATCCGACTGACCACATAGCTGCAAAATACTAATGAAGTGCAAGAGCCAAAAGTGGGAAATATTTTATTTAACTGTCCTTTTCAGTGATAAACCTGCACTGAAAAGATATAAAAATACACTTTATCTTATAGCTTCAAGGAGTTTAAATTTGAATGTATGACATGAATATGCATGAAGTGCACATTATACCTAGATCACACCTAAGCTATTTGTCATGAGGGGAAACTTCAGGTTATAGGAAAAAAATGTGTTTAGGTGATCTGTTGGGAGGCTGCTTGGTAGAGGTGGCAGGGCTAGAAAATCTCGGATAATGATCAGCACCACGACAGGGAGAAGGTGCATATGAGAACAGGGCAAGAGGACCTAGAGTGAAAATGTACATGGTGCAATGGGTCTTTTATCTTCATACAACTGATCATGCTCCCCTTAAAAGGACTAGTCTGATTCCAGGAAAAGGGTCTACCTGTGAAGCTGTAGACCAGGTATCTCTGCATCTGATGCAAGGAATCATATGTGCTTGTCTTCCTGTGGGCTCCAGCTTCATTCCATCAGCTCTGATGGGACTGACATATAAGCAGGTAAACTTTAAAGGAGCTTTCAGAATCTCTTTCTGAGCCCGATAGTGTCTCACTCTGCCTGTAGTGGCAGTAAGTCCTAAAATTCTGACAACACTTTCTAATTGTGGCATTGGGTTATTTGTATCTTTGTTGATGTGACACAGAAAGTGTTAGGCAGATATTATGGCTCTGGTGCTGTGTGATATTACAGAAACTTTTCCCTAGCTTAAGTTATTGTTACCAAGTACTAGCATCCCAGTTTGATAGGTAAGGATTTGAGGTACAGGATCTTTAAATGACTTGCTGAAGGCCAAGCATAAAACTTGTGCTTATGGAGATATTTAGGTATTTAAGTTCCATTGAACTTAGTGGCACAGGATACCTAAATATAAATGTGGGTATGGCCCATTAGTTTTGGTAGAAGTGAAAACCAAACCCAGTGGTACCTGACTCAAGTTTCTGCTGTGATTATACTACTGTGACTGCAGTAATCTTGTCCACCTTGGATTGCCATCGTCCCAGATACCGTTACTGAAGTTCTGCGTGTAACAGCAGGAGGGTTTGGAGGACCTTCACAGACGTTGTTCTTTCTCTCAGGAATCACCCCATATGTCTCTGGTTTACAGGTTGAGGCTACACTCCTAGTGTCTTACTGGATTTGTGCTAACATAAATGCCTTTTATAGGGCAGTGAACTGAAAAACTAGAGACATAACAAGTTATAGACCAGTCAAGCACTAAACCTCTCCCTATAATTAATTTGTGAGGTGTGAGAATTGCTGTTTGTGTAGGAAGATGTGTGACAGCCTCCATGTACCATGTGTCTAGTCAAACCTGTCCATGGTTGGTTTGTCTGGATATCAGAACATCTTAAAGTTTTTCTTGGTACACAGTCCCATTGCATGAATATGCCTCTCTGCCTCATCGACTCTATCTCTTTTCAAACTCCATCTTAAAATGTATCTTTCCTCCTTTGCCTCTGCCTCTTAATTTTTCTTTCCCTCGGTCATTGGCCTTACGACCGAATGGTTTAATTTATTCACCGTGCAATATCTTTATGATGCTGTTTTCTGTAATTTATATCAGATACAAGAGAGTGGACAGTGTCATTTAATTCCATAAAGGGCTTTAGGATGCTATTTCTACAAAAGATACTTATGAAATAAAGTCATGAGTCTGCAAAATACTTACTCATGCAAATAGTTACACTAAAATTGATGGTGCTGCTTGTGTGGAGAAGTTGTTTCCAGGCTGGACCCTTATGTTTTGTACCTGGATACCTAAGCATCCAAAATGGATTGTCTTCTAAAAGTGCTCTAGGGAAGTTAAATTTTCTGACAGCTGGTTGACTTACAGCAGGTTGATTTATGGCATACTGTAACTCCAGGAAGATGCTATTTTATGGTAATGTTGGGCACTATTTACCTCAGCCAACTATAGGTGTTCCAGAAAGCTGTGTAGTTTGGAGGTTGACCACTATACAGACAGCTGCCTTCAGGAGGCCAACCAGAGCACGAATGATCAAAGCCTGCTTTTCCCAACGTACTTTATAGGAAAATTCCCCTGAAATCTGCTCTCCTTGTTGGCCACAAATAGATGCGTTCTTGAAGCCTTCTAAGGCTCAGGAGGTCTGCTTTAGCTTGGGAGAATTTTCCTGTTATCTCATTATAAAGAGGAGCCACATACTTTAAATTTATTTTAGAGCCAATGCTTTTGAAATTTATGGCTATTTTGTTTATTGTTACATACTTTTTTTTTTTTTTAGAGAGTTTTTGTCTCCTGTTAGGTGTCCAGTGTGTATTCAGCAGATTAAATTACAGGAAAAACCCAAAATTAACTCAGAATTAAAGAGGACTAGAAACCCTCAAGATTCTGGTTTTTTTTTTTTCTCTGAGTGTCCTTTCCATGTTAACCAATCTCAGCTGTGTTAAAATATTCCATGTTGGCATGTTTCATCTCCCAGAATATCTCCAGTTCACTAGGCTCAAATTATGACATGTATTCCTGAATATGAAAGCTTTTGGCTGAGCCTGAATAAGCTTTCTGATAAGACAGATGTTCAATCTTTGGATATGTAATAGAAAACCCATCCAAAGTCTCATCAGTATAAAACTGATGATGTGATCCAACTTCAGGTGCTTTGTCTCCTACAGAAACTTTTATATCTATTACCTGGAAAATGGCATGGTGATTTCAAATTGGATTCTAGATGCTGATAGAGGCTGGACCCTGATTCACTGACAACACCAAGTCTTTCAATTTATTATCTCTCTCTTGGTGGTGAGGGGGGCAGGAAAGCAAAAGGAAGAAGGAAACCCATCAGTCGTATTTTTTCCTTTTTTTTTAACCTTTGTTTTTCTTCATATTTTCCTTGTCCTAAAACAAACACCTGACTTTTCACTCTGCTGCCTGATGGAGAAGCAACTCCATCCGAAACCCAATGCACCTTGTCATCCTGACCCTTGCTTTCATGTATCTGTTGTCTCACAGGTGACTTACACTGTCTTAAGACATCTTCTTAATCACACTGATTGTGCTAGCTAAAATCCATCAGTGTGCTTCATGGGTTCAGGACTGGAGAGATAAGAAGAAAAATTTAGCAGCTCAGAATAATAGATCAAGTACTGCATAGACTTCCCATTTCCCTGACCAATGAGCCAGAGATTTTGTGAACCAGCTTTTGGGGATGGCATCAAGTAATCCATTCAGTAACCGGGCTGTTGTCTGAAATTATTTTTTTCCCCCATAACTTCCTATTTTAAGATAACTGTGAAAAATAAAAAGTAATTCTTTATATTTTGAAGAAAAATATTGAGTAAAGTATGGTTTGCTGAGGTTTAAGAAATCTTAAAATGTCCCTTAAAAACGAGACCTCTCCTTCTGCAAGCAACAGTGACATCATGAGGCTCAGAAGGATCCTTTACATGGGTGGATATTTTTGTAGCCTGTGTTAGGCCTCACACAAGGATTATATCCAGTCATGACATATAAGTGTTTTTTAGATAACTTCTCATGAATTCTCCTTTCATAATGACTTGGCTATGGAAAAGTCAGATTTTAATAATCTAGGTACATGTCAGGTGATTAATTGTCAAATTATTTTGGAAGTGGTATATTTTGCTCCATAAAAAATAAATAAATCTCTGTTTTGAGCAATTCTCTGTATGTCTTCCAACACAATCTCATTCAGCTATTCCTTAAA